AGGCCTTGCGAGGCACAGCGAGCTTGTTGCTGAACGCCAACGTGCCGTGTAGCATTGCGGTGCGGTCCCGCGGTTCAAGGATTTTCAAACCGTAAGGACAAGGTTGTGACAGCGCCAGGGATTAAAGTCGCGCCTCTGTTTCAGCTTGCTGTGTCTCTCGGGTGGCTTTCTGTGCTTGAAAGAGCCTGTTGCTCCTTCTGTGCTCAGCTCTCTCCTGTTGGTTATCCTCGGCTCTTTTGTAGGTGGATCTTAATCTTCCCAAACCTAGTTTTTACGTGTTGAGCTGCCCTTATCTGCTTGGACTCGAACTGGTTTATTTACAGTGTGATTGATCGGTGTCGTTGCAGTATAACTGATTAATAACCTTTGAACAAGGGCTAAACAGTAGCTGAACCAGTGAGGAGGATGGTGGGTGATACCCAAATTTTAGCAGGTTGACTTGTGGCTTTTCTGCATCCAAATGGTGCTCAGACTGTAACATGCTGAATCTCAAAGGTTATCCACTCAGTCTGAAGAGTTTACACGACCCAGGAAGTATTATAATCGCCTGTGTGTCCTTTTTTTCCCCAGGCTCGTGATCACCATGGCCGCAGTGGATCGTTTCTACCTCTTGTACAGAGAGATCAGTCGCTCCTGCAGTTTCTACGTAGAAGCCCTGGCTATCGTTGGAGCGTGGTACACAGTCACAAAGTGTGTCTCCCTCGCGTTTGATGCTTACAGCATGCTCAGGTTGCATTTAATTCCAAAGCTGGGTGGTGAGATTGATCTTGTCAAGCAGTATGGAAGATGGGCCGTGGTCACTGGTAAGGGACTAAAGCGCTGTATTTGCTTCTCTTTCTAGAACGTGCTGTGGCAGTAGTGTAGAACCTGCTCGCTGGTGCTGCTGGGTGGGCTTTACCTCACAAACTGGTGCCTGTATTATCTCAGGTTGCAAGTTAATCTGCTTGAGCAGTGATTAGTTTTTCAGTGCATTAGTAAATGGACTTCCTCAGGGGATGGGTCAGCTCAGTGTGTTGACTGACTGCTGGGAAAGAATTGAAGAGCAATTTTTCCCCCCAAAATTGCAAGGTACACCCTGAACACATACAAGCATAGACAGAGGCGCAGTCAAGATTGAGTTTTTTGCTATGGGCTTTTCACATGTGCTCAAGTTCTTCAACGAGGTTTAAGTCACGTACCTCTGACATCCTCACCTTTCGTTACGGTTCTGTGCTAAACTCTCTGTTGTCATAGAAAATATAAAACTTGTATGAGGTGGGATTGCAGAAGGTGGCTACTGACAACACTGTCTTTCATGCTAAGGCTTTGAGATGAGCATATTCAGTGCCATATCATCTTCAGAGAAGGGAATAAAGTGATAATTGAAAGAACTGTCAAAATAGAAGGCTGGGGCTGCTCTGATTTTCACCTGGTTTTGCTGTTTTCTATCCCAGGTAGCACAGATGGCATCGGGAAGGCGTACGCTGAAGAACTGGCAAAGCGTGGTGTCAACATCATCTTAATCAGCCGAAACAAAGAAAAGCTGGAGGCTGTATCTAGGAGCATATCTGAAACCTATAAAGTGGAAACAGATTTCATAGTAGCTGACTTCAGCAAGGGGCGTGAGCCTTACCCAGCCATTAAAGAGGCTCTGAAAGACAGAGAAATTGGCATTTTGGTGAATAACGTGGGTGTATTTTATCCCTACCCGGACTATTTTACCAACCTGTCTGAGGATATGCTGTGGGACATGATCAACATAAATATTACTTCTGCTAACATGATGATGCGTATTGTGCTGCCAGGCATGGTGGAGAAGAAGAAGGGGGCAATTGTGAATGTTTCTTCTGCATCCTGTTGTCAGCCAACACCAATGTTCACAGCCTATGGAGCCTCTAAAGTAAGTTGGGGGGTGATGTTTAATGCACTGAAAAGCAGATCCGTTATAGGTTGGTTGTGGGGGGTTTTTAAACATTCAGCAGGGATATCAAAAAGATTTAAAAGTTTTCTAGGGATTTGTTCAAATATCAGGGGTGAATGTTACACGTATTATGCAGTAAACTCTTTATCCTCACTAATACTGGGCTTTGAACCAAAGTCAGTGCTATTTGGATTATGTGTGAACTGTGGCGTAACAGTAGTTCTAGGAGAAGTGTTACCTTCCTCAGAGGAACGATGCCCAAAGCAAAGTGGCAGTTCTGTGACCCACTGAAAGGCTCAAGGATTTTGTATCTCTCTTCTTCAGCTGAACTATGCAAATACACCTCAGGCTACTTACACACTAGGATTTGGTAGCAAGAGGGGCTACACATGCTCACTGTACCACTGTGACAAGGGCTGTGGCAAAACCAAGCCACTGCTTCACCTAACACCAAGGGGCAGAAGGCTTCTTACACCCTTGTCTGTCCTGTATTTGGGGAGAAGTGAAAAGAACTTTCCTCCCCATAATTATTCTTCCTAAGGAGATCCAGTCAATAATGAATAGGATGGGGCTGGGTGATGCTGGAAGTATGAGTGCACATGGTGAAGCAGGTTTACACTGGATGATTTACTGCTGAATCCACAAAAGCAAGTGAGATTTTTAGAACAATCTTGTCTCAATCGGGTGCCTAAACACAAGTGGTTATTGCTCTCAGCCGCGGTGGCTGCCCTTTGCCGTAGCCTGACTCCTGTGCAGCCTCGCTCCTGGGATAGCTCCTGTGAGCACTTCCTTTTGCCTGAAGCAAAACCAGCTCTTATTACCCCAAGGTATAAAACTCCTTGCAGATTTTCTTCAGTGTGGAAACTGAAGTTTAAGATTCCTGTTCCTGTTGCTGAGCATCTCCCCACCTTGGTTATTCTAAGTGTATGTAGAACTACACTCTGAACTAAAACAGTTAAAAGGCCTGAATGAGAAAGAAGAGAACAAAGCCGAGTGTAGCAGAGTTTCTTCCTTTAGCTAATAGTATCATTAATCCCAACCCCAGATCAGCGCTCCAGTTTAAAGCCTGCCCTCTGCACAGTAACACTGGCACAGAAGTGGGAACAAGCTGCTCTAGCATCCTGAGCCTCTTTGCATTAACAGTGTGAGGTGTTTGAAGTGGTTGGTTTGTTTTCCTAAAGCAGGTGTAGGAGCATTTGTAGGAGATGCTCTGACAACAGTTTGTTGGGAATGGCACTTTGGTGAGGCCATTTGGGAGCAGAAACCTGTTCACTCACAAGCTGAGTTTAACATGCTGTTTCTCAGGGGTAACTGGCTGCGTGGCACAGCGGTGGCTTCAGTGTTGCTGCCTTGGTAAGACTAAGCCGTGCTCATTTTTCCATCTGTTTCATTCCAGCAATCCCAATTATCAGGCTTGTGCTCTTTTATGTATTCTGTAAAAGGAAAATGAACTAAAAGAGATAATACCGATGCACATGAACAAATACATGTTTAATTTTGCTTAAGGGACTTGCAGGAATTAATTAACCTAGTTTCTGGGGAAGATCAGTTGAACATGGAATTCACCTGTACATGTATTAAAGGACTTCCTTTTGACGAGAGCATGCATAGTTAGCTTTGGAGTGTCCCCTGCAATGCCCTCAAACTAAACAAGGTGTTTATTTTAGATGAAATAAATGTTTCTGTATGGTTTTTAAGCAGAAATTGTCTAAATTCACATCATAGAGTTAAGCAGTCGCTTTGTCCTGCAAGTTAGTGTACTGTTGCAGGTTTATAGCAAACAAATAACAACAAATAGAAATGTTGGTAATACTTTAGAAATGTGTGTTTTTATATTATTTATTCAAGGTTTTATTTTTTTAGCTGCTGTATAAAATGTGCTACAACTTTTCTGTCATTTTAATAAAAGTCTGCCTTGAGACTTGATTTTTTTTTTTTTAAAGAAAGAAAAAAGATGTTTCTGCTTTTGTTTTTCTAGACCTACCTGGACTATTTCAGTAGAGCGCTACATTATGAGTATGCCTCAAAGGGAATTTTTGTTCAGAGTTTAACCCCGTTCATAATTGCTACAAAAATGGCATCATGCAGCAGCACTGCATCGAAGAGATCTTTCTTTTTTCCTTCTGCTGAAGAATACGCGAGTTACGCTATTTCTACTCTTGGGTTGTCCACAAGGACTACTGGTTACTGGAAGCATGCAATACAGGTAATGGAATTAATTAAACTATTTCATGTTTGTCAATAGAAATAAATAAGCTGTTTACTTTCTTAGGAGCCCAAATGAAACTTATACCTGTATTGTGAAAAAGTACAATGTATATTGCAGGATTTAAAGGCCTTGTGCCATATTTTCTCACTAATTCTACTTTAGAAAATTATGCTTGGGCACACTTCTTCTTTAGAAGGAGAGAGAGAATCCAGTTCCCGCTTGAAATGCGCAATAAAAGTGAGAAAGAGACAATTTTTATATTCAGAAGCACACTTGGTGTGTTGCTGACTGGGCCAGCATTTCACTGTCGTCTATGAACAGAAGTAGCTTTTTAAAATCTTAATTTATTGAGCATATTTCTGCTTTGGGGAAGAGTGGCTAAGGGAGGATGGAATAACAGCAGAAAAAAAAGAAGCCACATTTTTATCCAAAGCTGCCTGGAAGCAGGTCCTGTGTATGCCAGGTTTTCATCTTTGGGGGCAGACTGTGGGCTTCAGAGTGATTTTATGAACACTGGTCACATCTCTAGATGTGTCCTGTCTAGTGGCTTTCTGTCACATTAAGTAGAAGGAATTGGAGAAGTGGGGATTATTCCAAAAGGAATAAAAGACCTGGGAAGGATTCTGGCAAGATGTGACAATTAAAGGAAGTGGATAGTATTGCTGTTGTGAACTTGAACAAACCACTTCAGGATTTATTTACAAGAAATCTAAATAAATAATAATTATAAAAATAATATATATTAACAATAAACCACAAATAGGATTTATTTGCAGAACCTAACTCTTCAGCTGTGTGCACTACTTCTGAAATGGCTAAATAGCTTTACTTCCAGGGGGTTGCTGATGTTCAAGCAGGCTTTGCCTTGCTTTAGTGGTAATTTGAGAAACTGTTCACTTTTTAATGGAATACATCTTAATCTGTTTCTTGCTTTCTTCTGTTTCTCTTCTCTTGTCTCCCCATGCCTCTCCACAGTTCAGGCTGTGTGAACATCTACCTGAACGGATCTGGGTGTGGTTTGCACTGTATTTATCCAGAATGGTACGCAAGGAAGCTTTAACGTGCAAAGTGAAATAGGAATATCTAGATGTCCTGCTTAACAAGTAGCATTCTGATGAGAGTGCTGCAAAAATGTTCAGTGAACCTCGATGGACTCAGTGTCACTTCTCCATACCTTGCTAAACAAGCTGTGTGTAACCTGGACATCGGAAATCCGGATCTTCTCTGTATCCTTGTATTAAATAGCTCCTCTGCTGCTTTCCTCCATGACAGAGAGCTGATCATGTTGAGGTTAATCTCTCTTCACTTTCTCTTCAAAGTAATTGGGCAGAAGCAGATACAGTTTTAATTCTGACAGTAAATGACTGTCTCTTGCGTAGTCCTACATGATGTCAACTTGTAAAGTTAGAATTTGAGAATTCTCCAAATCTGTCAGAAATGGGGCCCCCCAAAAGTCATGCTGTTCAAAAAGACAATCCCAGTCAACTGTATTAAGTTTATTCTGTAGTTTTGTGTAACTTTTCTGGTCTTCTGACAGCAGATGTTTGTATGTTTTAAGTGCAAATGTTGTTGCTTTTGAATTATAGAATTGTGTTACTTAAGGAACTTCTCAAAATTAAGGTGTATGGCAAGGTAATATTGACTTGGAGGTTGTTTAAAAGACTGAAAAGGTCTTACAGAGCTGTAAAGGAATTTGGAGGTAAGCTTGTTTGTTTTGTTATTCTAAGTGTGAAAGATATTGGTAATACTTTAAATATTCCTTCAGCAATCTGAAATACAGCTGGAGAATTGAATAAAAAATGTAAAAAACACATTAGCTAAAGAAAAATAATGAAGAAATGTTTTGATTTAAAAATACTGATTAGTTTCCTAAGATAATAATAATAAAAAAACCTTATTGAAGTTTTGATGCTTTATGATTTTGATACTTTTGTTTATATAAATAAGCTTATGCATATGTACTTACCAGAAGTGATCTGGTACCATACACTGCTCATACTTGTTGCAGGCTCTACAGCTGAGAGTCAGGAAAGCTGTCCTTTCTATGTACGCATAATTGCTACCTGAAAGAGGAACATGACTTAGGGAGAACATTCTCAGTCTTTTTGTATTTTATATTATCATGGGCTCCTTAGTACTGCTTCTGTAATGTTATACTGAAATAACTATGCAGTACCTTATACACAGCAGCATGGCTCCAAGGAGCGTCCTCCTCATTTCTGCTTTAGGTTAGGCTGATGTATTTCCTGATGGTGACACTGGGAGGTCAGTATGACACTAGCTTGCTTTTTGAAATCCCTACTGGAGGACATACACCAGTTGTGTGGTGTTGCTGAATAATGCAGTTGTGATTATGAAGTGGGTATCTTGCTTCGTAACAGCTCTGGACTGGTGATACTAGAATCTGGAGTTCCAACAGCGCTGTCCCCACGCAGCTTTTCTGAGTAGAGGATAATTTGATACTCATCCCCATCTAGAACTGGATACAAATCTGTTTGTAAATAATGTAATTCAAATGGTATTGTGTAACATCTTGATTACAGTTCTTTAAGCAGCTGGATTTTTCTTTTTTTTTTCAATAAAAATACCCCTAGTTTTCATGTTAGTGCATATTGTGTTGAGGTATCCAGGGTATTTGCTGGGCCATGTAGGAAGATACTGATGCTCAAATTATCATCCAGAGTGAAATTCAGGCTGTGATTTTTATCACGAAGAGCTCCTTCCCTTGACATTTTGTTAGTGTTGTTGCTGCAGTCTTATATTCTCAATTCTTTTGGAGAGAAGAAGGGAGAAGATGGGAAGTAGGTATTGTGGGCAGGGACTCGGCTGCTGCTGATCTCAGTCTCTGCTGGCCCTGGAAGCCGTTTGCTTCAACGGTACAGTACAAAAGCCTACATTAGGTATTGCTAATACTGACTTGTTTGCAAATAGGATTTAAAGCAGGCTGGCTGAACAAATGCATTTACATTTACTCCCGGTTACAGCCGCAGCTCGGGTTTTGCAGGCAGGAGTTAGACCCCACTCAGCCATGTCGGAATAATCAGATTCTCAGCAGGCGGCTGCTCTGGCCTCCCCTCCTCACCGACCACCAGGAACCGTCCTCCCC